ACCCATTATAGACTTTTGGCTTGGAAGTGGGTGACTTACCTGAGTCAAAATTTAATCTGGCCGGGCAGTGGTGGCGAATGCCTTTAATCCCAGCACTCTGGAGGCAGAGGCAGGCGGATCTCTGTGAGTTCAAGGCCAGCCTGGGCTACAGAGCGAGATCCAGGAAAGGCACAAAGCTACACAGAGAAACCCTGTCTCGAAAAACCAAAAAAAAAAAAAAAAAAAAAAAAATTGATGGAGGGTGGGGTAAAAGGAAGAGTGGCTTCACACGTGGTCAGGGGGTGGGTGGGGAATGCTCAACTCTACCCAGGCTGGGTACCAAGATGATAGCTTTTTTTTGGATACCGATAGTAGATTTCTCAGCTGACGCAGTAAGCCAGATCAAGCTGAATTAAAAAGATCAGGCTTATTGGGCCAAATGCTCTAGGGTGACTCTCCAGCCCCTAGAGGTTAGGCGGGGGTGGGGGGAGGGGTGGAGAGCAAGTGGAAGGTCTAGAAACGGGCTTTAATACACTGTAGGTGCTGTCTTGAATTTCGGGGGAGGAGCCTAGACTTGGCAGTCTTTTTGAGAGGGGCGGGGCTTGGAATGGGAAAGAGTGGGGCTGAGGCAAAGTTTCTAGCCAGACATGACCCCCTCCCCCCCAAAAAAAAAAACAAAAAAAAGAAAGAGAGAAAGAAAGAAAGAAAGAAAGAAAGAAAGAAAGAAAGAAAGAAAGAAAGAAAGAAAGAAAAGAAACAAGAGTGGAGTTAGGATGGTGACACAAGCCTGCAATCCTAGCCCTCAGAAGGTGGAGGTAGGAGAATCAGGAGTTCAAAGCCAGCTTCATCTACATAGATAGTTGCTGTGGCATGTTCTGTATGGCAAATGTGTTGCTCTGATTGGTCAATAAATAAAACACTGATTGGCCAGTGGCCAGGCAGGAAGTATAGGTGGGACTAACAGAGAGGAAAAAAGAAAGAACAGGAAGGCAGAAGGGGTCACTGCCAGCCACCGCCATGACAAGCAGCATGTGAAGATGCCGGTAAGCCACAAGCCATGTGGCAAGCTATAGATTTATGGAAATGGGTTAATTTAAGCTATAAGAACAGTTAGCAAGAAGTCTGCCACTGCCATACAGTTTGTAAGCAATATAAGTCTCTGTGTTTACTTGGTTGGGTCTGAGCGGCTGTGGGACTGGCGGGTGAGAGAGATTTGTCCTGACTGTGGGACAGGCAGGAAAACTCTAGCTACAGAGAATAAAGGGAGTTTGAGGCCAGTTTGACTCTAAAAGAAAATAACAATAACAAAAATACCCAAAGTGCTTATATCAGTAGCATTCATAGTGGGAGAAAACTGGAAACAACCCAAATACCTAATACCTATCAACTAAAAATAAATTAGAATATTTTACATGGGCAATGCTATACAGCTGTGGGAATGAATGAGGTATACAGCTGTCTGGGACAGAAGGATGATAAATATCACAAATGTCAAAATAAACAGGGTCAGTGACACAGTTCCAGATTTCCACCTAACAGCCCAAAGAGTCACCTTATCTCCTGAGACCTCAACACAGGCAAAACTGTATCCTTGGCTCCTCTGTGGAGAAGAACTTCAGGACTAGTCAGTGTGAAGCCCAGCTGAAGTTTATGGAAGAGATTTTAATAGAGACTTTAAGAGAAAGGCACACCCAGAGCATGGGTACACGCTTCTCAAAGAAGTGCTCACTTTATTGTTTTCATAACCATATGTACGATTGTGGTTGTGTTTGAAGCTATTGTCTTCAAGGAGCTGCTATGGGATCAAGATGAGATCACAGAGTGGTTCCCAGGGTTTCTGACAAGATTACAATAGATACTGTTTACAAAGGGAACAGAACGGTTGGAGAGATGAATGGTTCCAGAGGACCCAGGTTTCATTCCCAGCACCCACGTGGTAGTTCACAACCATCTGTAACCAGTTCCAGGGGACCCAACACCCTCTCTGACCTCCAGGGGTACCAGGCATGCGTAGACAGACATGCAGGCAAACACCCATACAAATAAAAGAACAAAACAAAACAACCCACGGATTTTGAAGGGACCAAAATGGAAGGTTTACAGCCTTGCTTGGAATCCCCAGAACATGTCTGAGAAATGAAACAAAGCCCCAGCCAAGGTCATATACTTTGCAGGCCTTAAGCCTGTCTCTTTGCAATTTTAATGTAAAATATTTATATGCAAAGGAATAGCATCTGCATTTCTTCAGCTCTTACAGAAATGCTAATTGGGCTAAAGTCTTTGTTTCTCAGCTGGGGAGAAGCTTCACTGGGCTCCTTTCCTGCAACAACCCCGCCCCCCATTTTCCTCGGTCTTCATAGCTTCAGACACTAAGAGAAGGAAACTTGTACGCTCCATTTATTTCAGGTTCAGGAGGAATCCACAGTTAAAAGCTGAGTGAGCTGTCACAGCCGTCAGCCTCTGGGGGCCCAGGAGGGTCCTCAGCAGCTCCATCATGCTCTGCTATTTTTCTTTTTCTTTCTTTTTTCTTTTCTTGGGGGGCGGGGGTTGAGACAGGATTTTTCTATGTAGCCCTGGCTGTCCTGGAACTCACTCTGTAGACCAGGCTGGCCTCGGACTCAAAGATCCACCTGCTTCTGCCTCCTGAGTGCTGGGATTAAAGGTGTGCGCCACCACCATGGCTTGGCATAAATGTTAGTTCTTAAAAAAGAACAAAGCCAGGCTTGGTGGCTCATGGCACTTGGGAGGCAGAGGCAGGAGGATTGCTGTAAGTTCTAGGCCAGCCTGTTCTATATAGTGACAACCTATCTATTACTCCCCCCCCCAAATAATCTGGGAGTGGTAGAATGTGCCTATAATTCTGTGATACAGGAGGTGAGGCGGGGTAGTCAGGAGTTTGAGCCCAAGTAGGGTATGTAAGATTCTGTTTAAAAAAAATAGGGCTGGAGAGGTGGCTCAGTGGTTAAGAGTACTGGCTGCTCTTCCAGAGGTCCTGAGTTCAAGTCCCAGCAACCACATGGTGGCCCATAACCATAATGGGATCTGATGTCCTCCTCTGGCCTGCAGGCGTACATGCAGACAGACCACTCATACTGAAAAAAAAAACAAGTCAATCAAACACACTCACATAAACATCCGAAGAAGAAGAAGAAGAAGAAGAAGAAGAAGAAGAAGAAGAAGAAGAAGAAGAAGAAGAAGAAGAAGAAGAAGAAGA